CCATATTTACTCTTTACATATCACAACTAGAATTCCATTAATAGGATTGAAGGATGTACAATACATGAATTACTGCAATGAAACTAAAGCAGTAACTGCTCTTTGGGGAAGAGTTAAATAATGAGACTGACAATAATCATATTACAAGTAGTTAATTTAAGTATTGGTTATTAAAATTAGGGATTTCTGACAGGCACAATATTAGGCACATAGTAAGAAGAACTAAAAAAATTAACTTTCATCAAATTGCTCTAGAACTTGCATCAATAAATTAGTTAAAGATTTAAAGTTAAATACAGAAGAAAAAATATTTTATTGGACATGAACAAAGTGTTCAGAAAGATACAAGCCAAGAAAAACAACTTGTCACTTTTTACTCTTCAGTTTCTGCTCAAGATTTAACCTTTATATTGGTGTGGTTTGCTCTCTGCTTTTACTTAGAGGTACAATATTGTGTTTTGCATTCAAGAGTATTTAATATTATTTTTTAAAATATCTTTCAGGGCACTACTGTATTACAAATATTTACACTTATTCTGTAAATAAAAGTGTCCTAACATTTCAGTGTGCATGTTCCTATGCTCATTTTTTCAGATTCACCTAAAAACGTCACAGTTTCAATCAGACCCTGGTACAGTGCAGATGGAAACCAGGAGACTTTTATTGGGACAGGAATGAATTTATCTATTAAAGTCTCCAAAGACAGGCGAATATTGTTTTGCAAAGCTGGAAATGAGATTGGAGTTGGACGTTCCAGCAGTATTCAAATTGAACTTCAGTGTAAATATCACATTTTACATCTCTTTAACATGTTCTCTATCCACATCTAATTTGCATGTACATTTGTATAATATTACGATTCAACAACAAAAAAGAAAAGAGAAAGAGGCAGACTAATTCAATGACAAAAATGACCTTTGTTTAGCCAGAGCAGGAGACAATATAAACAGAGTACAATGTCAAGAATTCAGCAAATGAGGAAAAACGGGTAATCTTAAAAACTGGCACAAGCACATCTGGACCAGACAGGACCAGACTACAGCAAAGGAGAAAGCATTATATGCACAAAGGGTAATCAGTTAAGGAAACACAGGAGGGTCACAAGAGGCACCAAAGACCATAGCAGATCTGATACCAACAAGCAGCAATGTCACTCTGACATGCTGGAGTAATGCTGAGCAGTAAGAAAGTATTTGTGATGCAGCGCTAACAATAACTGTGAAAACTGATGGGGAACAAACACATTTTATGAATCAAAGATATAAAGTTAATGTTTAGATGTTTGAAACCTTAGCCAGTGATACAGTGTACTCTACAGAGCCCACTAACAGATAATGTTAGGATTGTTAGGATTACATCTATGCTCCTCTGGGATTCACTTGCAATCAATTTCTTTGCAAGAAGTTTTAGATACCCTCTAATCCATATAAAGAATGAATCTGTTACTTCAGTCCAGTTATAATAGACACACTAGGAGTTTCATAAAATGTATGTTGTGAGTTCAAACAAACCTTTTTTTTTAAAGGCTACACGATTAATATACAGGTCTTTTTCTTTTTCTTTTTTTAAATTCAGTTCTGTATCCAGCAATAATATCCACTCTTGCACTGTTACTACATGTGTTTTTTATCAGGTAAATAAACAACATGAGACTTTTTCAGAAAACCTTCAGACTTTACTGTAACAGTAAACTCTATTTGTCCTGATTCTATTTGACTAAATGCTGACAATTACTTACTATTTTATTTTTTAGGGTTCAGAAGAGTCCCTGTAAAAATAAAGGTCACTTAACAGATGAAAACAACGCAGATGCAATGAGTCAGCCTCTAACTGAAGAAGGAAATGAGGCGCCTTAAGTTCCTTTTAACAGTGTTGACCAATGCTGATACTTTTGTAACTATACAGCAAGAAGTAGATTATCTTTACCACTGATATTTTCTATGTAATTGTAGGAACCAAACACAACAGAAGAGTGCATTTATGCAAACGCTGATGGACTGAGAGGGGCAGAAAATCTTTAACCTGCAAACATCGCTGGACCAAGCAGCACTGACTTTCCAATCTCTGGGCCAAACCATGCAGAAGGAGGACGCAAAAAATCAGACAAGGGGACGAGTGCGAACTGATTTACTCTAATGTGAACTGGAAGATAAAGAGCCAGAAAAAGAAGGGTGAAAAGTCTTTGGACATGAATCCATCTGGCAGATCTTATTTGAAAGAGAAGTGCACGGTGAGGGGAGTTAACAGAAAGTCTGTGAGCAATGCAGTAGAAATGGGAGGCCTGTATGCTCAAGTGGAGCCTAGAAATATGAGGAAGGAAGTGGGGTGTGAATATGCGCAAGTCAAATTTAAAGAACAAAGCGCTATGCAAAAATAGATATATAGTGCCGTGAAAAAATATTTACCCCATATTTCCTGATATCTTGCTTTTTGCATATTGGTCACAGTTTTGAGTTTCAGAACATTAAACTAATCTTAATATTAGGAAAAAAATAACTCAAGTAAATTCAAAAGGCACTTTTTATTAGAAAAAAAAAAGTCCAAATCTATTAAAATGTTTTGATTATCTGAAACATTTTAATGTGACAAATGTGGAAGGAAAAAAGAAATCAGGAAGCAGACAAATACTTTTCATAACATATTGCAACCTTTTGCATTGTTGAGCTTACTACAAAATAAATAAATAGCTGGTCTGTTCTCTGGGTGTGTCCTTGACACGTAGTCATACTGTGGCAAAGACATTGAGCAATACAGTTACAATCCCTTTGTTCAGGCTTCTCTGGCACAGTATCTCAGACACTCCCTGAAATAGTCAAAGACTGGCTCACTACCAGGTGGCTACAACTGGTCCAAGGAGACCTGTTAGAGAAGCTAGGAGAAGCTCTGGACATGCAGTTTGCATGCTTGAAATTTGGTGGTAATTCATTTTAGTCTGATTAGCCTGCAACAAACACATGGCTCTGAGCATGACCCAGCTATAGTCTAGCTTCATCTGGGATGTGATAATGCCTTCCTATGTTTGAATGCTCCAAATTCCAAGTAATAAAATGCAAAAATGTTTTAGTGGCCAACATGATGAAATCATTTTTGGAAAAATCTTCTAAAATAATTAAATAAAAAAGATTAAAATATAAAATAATTTAAATAATTAAAAATATAGAATATAACTGCACAAACATCTCAAACTTATCATTGTTTAGCTGTTTTGTTTGTTTGTTTTATTAACATGCAATTGCAGGAAAAGTGTTGTTAACTGTTCTGATAATTAGTTATTGTATTGTGTACCCAATCACACACTGTCTATAGAGGTGATATCAATATATTTATAGTATCATGATATGCAGACATGATAATTATGAAAAATACTAGGACCATTCACACTCAGTTGTGCTTGATTTAATTTTTTGTCTTGCTGTAGGCTATAAATATAATGAATGATACTCAAACATAAATACAAGTGATTCATTTTCTTGTTTTGTTCTTTCAATATATTATTTTGTCAAGTTTTTTGTCTTTTGTTATGTTGCACTTGTGCTTTCGAGTTCACTCGTGGATTTGCTCTTTCATATTCATAGAATGTATTCACTTGCGAAGACACACTAGATATGGGGGTGATTGACGTCATTTCACTGAGTAAATGTTCTTGGTGGCATTGCATTGGCTGATAATAATATTTGTTCATCACCTGATCTAACCTGATTTTGAGTTCCTACGTTCCTCCTTGTTGCATTATGAAAAGTGATGTATAAATATGTATGTAATCATTTTTCTAAGCACTTACATTAACACAGGAATCGGTCCAAATCCATCTAACCTTTGTCACACTGCTTTGGAGTTTAATGAACAACATGTGATGAAGTGTTTAGCAAACTGTAAATTTGGTGAAACAAGCAGAGCCCTTCTTTCCGAGTTTCTCACTTTCAGACTGACTGCCTTAAATGAGCACTGCAAGTTTCCTGTTTGAGGCTGAATAGCAGAGAGTGGCAGAGCAATTTAGGTTGTGGTCAAAAGGGGGACTTGAGAACAGAAACAGACTGGGACATCACAAACACAGTGAAGCAGCATCTCTCTTGCCAGGTACGGTTCTCATAAGATATAAAGATTGAACTTCCTTTCTGAAGATCTAAAGCTGTATTACTAATGTAAAGCCAAGTTTTATGCTTTGTTCAACCTGGAAGAACTTGAGGATTCTAGTGTAGAAAAATCAACTGTAGTACTATACACTTCCTCAGTAACTGATTTTGTGTTAGTGTATTATGACCTGTATTATAAATACAATGTTACAGCTGCTGCGTTTCAGAGGTTGAAAGGCCAAAGGTGACTTATCGGATGCTGTAAAGTGACTGCTGTCTTCATGGCCTCTGTTCATCTGCTTAGACTGCTGAGCTTGATGACTGGTAATAACGACCTGTTTCTGTCTCTGGTTCTGTTGCTGATAATGCTTTTAAACAGTTCATGCAATGTAAAAACAACTGTCAACGTAGAATGACTGCACCATATGAGTGAGAGAAAAACAATGGGAAAAAAACAACATAAAAGCTGCATAGGTTTTATGAAAATCTTATTTCCATACTATTGGTATTACTGTATTATTTTCCTGTAGTAATACTTTTGGCTACTTTGATAATGTGAAAAAGTCATAATCGTGTAACCTCATCAAATTAATCTTTAGTAATTTTGCAGTAAAGGTAGGATATGTTCCTTAGAATTTGAAGACAGAAAGCAGAATACAGGAAGACAGAACATCCACTCATTTCATTTTTAATGAGTTGACAGCAATATTACCGGTAGGTTGATTTCAGAGAAGTCACTGGTGGTTTTTGTTATTTTTATAGGGTTGATGTTTCTTAGTGGTTAGCCAGCTTTCATAATAGCATCTCTCTGTGCATCAGAGTTTCTATTTGTGGGTCACCTATTTTATTTTATTATTCGTCAGCAAAGATATTATTACAACATTTTGTGGTTTTGTGATGTTTTTGATCTTCCCTTCTGCTCTCCTCTTCCTCTCACCCTTTTGAGGTACCTCAGTTCTCCAGCAGGTGAAAGGCTTCAGCATTAGAGTACCCAAAACAGTTGTTGCTGATGAAGGAACCTGTGTTGTGGTGCCATGTCAGACAGAACCTTACAATCGAGTCATCTGGTACCAGTATCATAATCTAAAGTATCCTGTTGTTTATGATGGAGTTAATTCTTATAACGTGGAACAGCAGTTCAGAGGACGCACCAAAGTATCTGGCAACGCTGCAGAGGGAAACTGCACCCTGATGATTGACAATGTGAGCACAGCTGACCATAACCTACGTGTTTATGTGTGGATCAATCCAGACTCTCAGACAACTCAGACATTCCATGATCAAACTGTAACTATCAGTGTTGGTAAGTGAATATTGTCAAACTTCCATTTAAGTCAGACTGACCAATGTTACGTGCCAGTTTAGTTTAGTGGATGAGCAGGTGACTGGGCAACCACATGTGTTATAGAGCAGCACCCGGGTATGGGTATGAGGCCCTTTGCTGCGTTTCTTCCCCTCTCACTCTCTCCTCCCTGCCTCCCTGTTCATCTCACTGCAATATCACCATAAAGGCAAAGAGCCAAAAAGTATTATTTAGAAAATGACCATGGTTGCAGGATCTTAATAAAAAAAATATATATATAAAAAAAATTCTGTGAAAATGTAAATAAAAACAACTAAAAACTAGTTCTGACAGAATTTGGAAAACTCAAAATCTGTTATACATCCAAGAAACCCAGCACATAACACGGATACTTGGTTTAAGTGTACAATAGCAATTTGCCATACAGTATATGTCATTTAGAAAATTCTAAATCTCAAGATATACAAGACATTTTTTTCTCTTTATTACGTTTTTTTTTTTTGTTTTTTTTTACTTCTAGAAAGAAAAGCTCCCATAATCTACATACAGAAGAAAATGGTGGAAGGGGAGAATTTCCAGGCCAACTGCAGCATAATCTACTCTTGCCCTTTCTTACCTCCATCCCTTCAATGGAACGCAAACACACTTCTGGAAAACTACACTTTTGTGGATTTCCACATGGAAGTGCATGGCCAGTGGTTCTACCAAAAGACACTGCGAGGAGTAGCAACATATCTGATGCATAACAGGAGGATTCGCTGTTCGGCTAAGTTTAAAACCTTTACCATGGGAAGTGAAATGAAACTCAACATTTTATGTGAGAAAAGCAATATGTGCTCCAAATACAGTAAATCGTAGACCTACATTTATTTATCTTAACAAACTGTCTTGTTGTTATGATTTCCTATATCCACAGATAAGCCTATCACTGTTACAGTGAAAAAGGAAAAGAAAGTTGTGGTGGAAGGTGACAGCATCAACATTGAGTGTGTTGCTAATAGTAACCCCCCACCACACAAATACTTATGGTTTATAAGACAATTAGACCAGCACAAGATCAAAAATTCAACTCAGAGTACGAAGCATTTCAACAACATTGCACGAGATACATCTCTGTCCTGCATGGCTCAAAATGCTTTTGGAGTGCAACAGTCTGTCTGGGTGGATCTGGATGTTCAGTGTAAGAAAAAAAGAAACACACACACACACACACAACAACAACAACAAACCACAATAACATAATAAAAATAGGCTATTCATCCTAGAAAATATATCAATATTTGTCATCTTAGCAGGGGTGTGGGAAAGGAATATTATATTTTGAATTGCATCGCTACAAGGAAACCAAATATCAATATTTTATTTAATCAATTAAAATAATCTGGGAAGAATTAGAACAAGAAGTTTCAGCTCACACACCACCATCCAGAGATAACTTTAGACAAACAAGGGTATGTTAAATCAGCTCAACCGAAATAAGTGCCCAACACTGGACACACAATTTGACGAAGCTACTTCATATTTAAGAGCAAGTCAGTTGCTCAGTCATATGAGTAAAAATAGAATAGCAACCTCCTAGCGTCAGTCAAAAACACCAGTCCCGGTAAATTGAACTCTTTCGCGATGAGAGGAGGTGGAGAAAAGATAAACTCCAGTTATCTTATGAAATCCTACGTGCCAGCCACTCGAAATTCCAAACTGCTGCCAAAATGGTGGCTTTCCTATCAAAAATTATCCTGGCTAATGGTCACAATCCCCGAACGCTATTTAAAAATTTTAATTTAGTGGTCAATCCCTGCCCTGTTATGCCACTGGTGTGCTCTCCTGCTCTTTGTGAACAATTTTTAAATCACTTCTTAGATAAAGTTTCATCTCTTAAGTCTTCACTTCCTTTAATGTCTAGCCCTGTTTGTAGCCCTGGTTGTTCGTCTACTTTCCATCAGTTTGAGCCCATGTCACTCCTTGCTCTTAAGCATTTAGTTGAACAACTGAACAATACTAATCCTATACATGATACCCTCCCATCTCGCATAGTTAAGGACTGCTTCGATGTAATTTGACCCAGTATTTTATCGCTATTGAATTCTTCCTTACTCTCTGGCTGCATCCCGTCAGCTTTTAAACATGCTATAGTTCAGCCTGTTCTTAAAAAAAGGAACCTTGATTATAATGATTATGTGAATTACAGGCCGATCTCTAAGCTCCAGTTCCTGTCCAAAATCCTCGAGAAGCTAGTTCTTCTACAACTCCAGGCGTACCTGGATGAGAATCACATCAATGATAAATTCCAGTCTGCCTTCAAACCACATCATAGCACTGAAACAGCGTTGCTTAGAGTCCTCAACGATCTTCTTCTAATTGCTGATACTGGATGCTCTGCGGCCCTAGTTTTATTGGATTTATCCTCGGCCTTTGATATGGTAGATCACAACATCTTATTAGCGAGGCTTGAGCATACTGTAGGCATTAAAGGTGTTGCCCTTGATTGGTTTAAATCATACCT